TCCTGAGAGGAACTGTGGGCCACACAAGCACTGCGCTGCGAGACGCACTCAGGAGGAGGAGCAGATGTTCTAAGTGTAGCCTGGGTTTACAACACAAGCAAAAACCAAAGTACAATGCGGTAAAACTTAAATGCAAACAAGGAAAAGTTAGAGCAAACCATTTATAAAACTAACTTACCAATGAGAAACCGGCAATAGCTCTTCCTCTCCCTGCCCTGTAAAGCCCTGTTTATCCTCTGATCTGGTGGTAAAATTCAGCCCCAGTAAACTCTCTGCAGTGTTTCTCTCCTATGTCCGCCAGACCCTTGTGCAAACTGACTTCTATGCTCCAGGAGTTGCCTGCTGAAATGCTCTCTAGCAAAACTAACACGCTTTAATTAAGAACCTAAACTTCTAAAATTCCAACTTATAAATAGGAATATAAAGATAAAAATTCTTAATGTTCTTAAGTAACTGCAGTGTTTATTCTGGTCCCTTTCCATATTTGCTTCCAAGTGTAATTTAAGAGAAAATGACATACAAAATCACATCAGTCTAAGCTGAAACACGCTGACGATGACAGTTGTAAAATACTCTTCATCTTACAAAACACAGTCATCATCATTCCTCTCCTGTAGCCCAGTTAACATACAATTACTCCAAAGGGCCCTGTCAAAACTGTTTCTAAATTTAAACAGCAAAGATGTATGGGGGGGGGGGATAATACTTCTTTGTTTTTCTCTATGCTGAAAGTATTTATTTAAATTAAAAAACCATTCTTGATTTCAATTGTGCAATTCAAGGAGACTGAATAATGTTTCTTAATTTTAAAACAAATTAAACATTCCTAAAAGGAATATGATAGGCACTATTTGAAAAATATAGGCTTTACTTAAAAATTATACCATGCCTAGGGGTGGAAAAGGGGGAAAAATGAACAACTGGAGAACTGTTTCATGAATTACCCAACATCATCTCAGCACAATATTATGTGCAGGAGGTAGAAATGATCTATACAAAGATTTCTTAATAATATAGGGAAAACTTTATTTTATAAGAAAAAGCCTGAAACAAAATACATAATATGCTTCTGACTGCATAATATCGCACTGAGAACATGCGCAATGCACAGAGAAAAGACTCAGAGGGAAGATGACATCGGCTAATCCACAAGTGACAGTGGGCTCAAGCAAGCCTCCTCATGGCTGTGTTAGCCCCAGAACCTGAGGTAACCCCTGGACGGGCTGTGCCCAGACCCGCAGAACAAGGGACCAGTGGAAAAACAGCTTAGGCTGAAGGCTGCACATCCGCCTTCCTCCCTACCCAACACTAGACATGCCCCCACAGGACCAGAGAACAGAAGTGCAGGTAACTCTGCCTCCAGCCAGGATCTGCAAAAGCAGCCCAGGCCCTGGCCCTGTCCCACCAGCCAGCTCAGAACTGAAGGGAGGTAGGGCAGGTGCAAGGAATTTCCAGGGCACAGCAAGCACGCCTCTCCTGCAAGGGGCGGAAGTGGAGAACCCTTTCTCATCCTCCCTGGAAAGAAAATCTTAAGCAAAGAAGGAGAGAGGCACAGATAAATATTTTCAACAGTGGGACAATCAAACATTTCAAGCTTCTCCTTCATACTTGCCTATACCTTCCAATAGCTCTACACTCAGTATTTCCCTTAGATTTAAAAGCTGATGTTTTTTTCTTTTTATTGCATGATAAATAGAAACATTTTTCAGGATTCCACTTAGTACCAGAGTACACAGAGCTTCTATTCTGTGCACAGCATTATACACATAAGAATGTCCAGCGGGTCAAGGAACCAGTGACCCAACAGAGAGTGACAGAGCAGGGAAAATCCAGCTTCTGTGTTCTCCGAGAAATGCTCTCTCTCCTCCTTGTTTCTCTGACTCTGATCACCCTGGACAGCCTCCTGCCGAAGATCAGCAACCCCTTCTTGCCAGGAAACAGGTCATCTAGTTTGAGAAGGCAAGGTCCTCTTCAAATAATGGATCACCTCCCACATCCTGTTTCAACTCAAAGAGGATATTGTGGAGAGGCTTCTAAGTGCTGGCAGGCACCCACTGAGACCCAGACAGAAGCAGCTCTGCTCAGATGTGGCAGGCTGCTGCTTTCCACCTAGAAGATCACAGTCCCAGGCGCTGTGCTCCAGGATTCTTCTCCTCCCAGGAGAAGCAGGAGGAGCACACAGCAGGCGAAGTCTTTGCTTTCCCGAGCACACAGCACATTCATACTCCCAGGAAAAGCCCCAACCCTGCTTGGACATTGCAATCAGACTGAGGTCACTGCCTGAGAAGCCCTGGCAGAATCCCAGGCCCAGGGGCTCTCTTACACCTCCAATTAACTGCAATTGTTTGCCACATTACAACTTTGAAGAAAGAAAACGCAGTAACCACACAAGCATGTCAGGAGGCAGTGACCATTCAGACTGAGACCCACGCCACCTACCCTGCAAGCATCTGGACCGTCACCTGACAGCCTGGGGCTGATGCCACAGTGCTGCCAAAGCACTCGGTCATCCGAACTGCAGAACCTTATTGCCAGGTTTTACCTCTGAAGAAAAAAAAACATCTGTGCAGATCTTCTGTAAGCACAGTACCTGAGGGTCACCTGCTTCAAGACCAAGCACACCAGGGGTTCAGCGATCCACACAGGCCCTCAGGAAGCCTTCACCCGGTGATTTACCAGGCTCCCTGAGGCCACAACCAAAGTGAATGCAGGAAAACTGGGACCTGAGTACACATTCCTCAGTCTCAGGTGCACCCTGAGACTGGATCTAGGTTCCCCCTGTGGCTCCCCAGCACCCTCATCCAGCCCTCCCCCAGCCAGCACTCATCGCTGCCTCATGGGCACTTTAGTTCCAGATGGGCTTCTCTGCTGCTCCCCACATCCCCAAGCTCCTGTGAGCCCTGCTGAAATGTCACCGGCTCAGGGAGCCTCCTCTGACCACCTCAGCTATGCCGCCTCTTGATAACATGAATGCTAATTACTTTAATTAAACTTTTTAATCACTCATCTAAAATCTGTCTTCCCAATACGATGAGCTCCAAGGGGCCAGGAACCAGCCGTTCCTCATTTATCTCTGTCCCCAGCACAGCAGAGGGTCAGCAGGCACTCAGACAAGGTGGGATCTCCCTGCGGGAAGGCCAGCACCGTGGGGTGCAGCCTGGAGTCTGCAGACGGACAAAACTTCCACCCTGGAAGGGAGCAAGGTGGTGCACCACACACTTTACAGAGACGTCAGGCCTTACAGCATAATGAGAGATTGGCCTGGGCCATAATAACAAACATTCTGGATCCTGGGAAGCAAGACTGGAAAAGTACTACAAATCCAACAATCATATTTGAAATCCAGATCCCAAATTTTTCAAATGTCCACTAATAAAAGGTACATTTTACACAGATGTTCCAAAGCGACACTGTACACCCAAGTCAATGGCAGGTGTGTTCGTGTGTGTGTGTGTGTGTGTGTGTGTGTACACAGATACACACTCGCACGTGTGTGCAGCAGGTCTGCAGGGAGAGCCTCTCAGAGATGAGCTGAAGCTTCCATTTGCAGAGCACACACTCCATTTCTCCCGCATGTTCTTTCTCCTGGACAATTAACGTCATGGTCATGTCCCTTCATCCTGTCTTGCTAATAATCAGGGAAATGCATTAAGAATCGCTTGGGTCTTACAACATAAGTTGGTGGTAAAGTAGTTAAGACAAACTTATTTACCACATTAATTAAATGGTCTATTTAACATGGAATATCAATTCTCTAATCACATCTCAGTTGAACTTCTTCTTTCAATTAACAACTCTGAGGGCTACTGACAGAGGTCCTACTGTTCCCGGATCATTAGGAACATTTTCATTATCTGTCAAACGAGGGAGTGAGAAGCAGAGTGCAGGCGCTGAGGAGCGGCCTCTCCCTGCTTAAGCGATGATTAGGGAGGGAGCGTCAAGGGGTCTCATTAGTTGCTTAGCAATGAGAAGACCTCCTATGAAATCATACATGGAAACAGAGTGTGAGGGGTCTCAATAAAACTCACTAAACAGGTATGTTCTCCTCTCTGAGGATGACCTGCCCTCAAATGAACCTGCCTCTCAGGCCACCAGGATAATCAGGCAGGCGGGAGACTAAAATGGCTCAAGCCATTCTCTCAGAAACAAGCAAGGCTAAGCCAGGAGGGGTCACAGGAAGATGCTTTCAAGTCGGTTTTCAACATAAATGCTTCAACGGAGGGCAGAGCCCCTCCTGTGTGTTTACTTGGATTTCACAGATGAATTAAAAAGCACACACACATCACTTTTCCCATTTTTTAAGAATTTACAGGGGGAAATGTAGCTCAGTGGTGCCGCGCCTGCCTGGCAAGTGAAAGGTCCTGAGTTCGATCCCCGATATCAGAAAAAACAAAAAAAGAATTTACAACATGTTTAAAATAGGAGAAGTTATATTAGTTTTTGCTGTTCTAACATAAATGAAAGAAAAATATGCACTATTCGAGAGAAACGGCACAGCCCAAGTAAATCTCTGCGAAGCTAATTATTTTGCGTGTAATTAATATTCCCATGAAACAAAATGTTATCAGCATATCAAAAGTAGAAAAGAGATGAAATGCCACAGCAACAAAGATTTAGTTTTTACCTTGTAGGAAAAATATTCAGTAAGAGTCTTATTGCCTTAACTTTATCAACTTAAATCCAAACCATTAAAGCCAGTGCTTCGATGGCCATTAAAAATAAACCAAATTCCCAAACATATTCATTTCTCTTCCTAATGTTATAAAAAGAAGATATTGACAATGGGGATGATATCTTATCAGTAGTTAAGCATGTACATTTAAAGATGTTTTTTAAAATGGCATCAAAAGCAGAACTCTTATTCTCTACCATTTCTCATCCTTAATATCACTGAACTTAATGGCAATTGTCATTACAGGTATAGGTATGCAGAGTGACACAGCAAGTTCACCAAAGCTCGTGTCCAGTATTTGCCGAAAGCTATGATGGCATGATCTTACCTATGTATTCACAAATGAAGACCACAAAGAAAGGAGTGACCAGGTCATTTATCCCCTGAACATATCCACTGGCAGGATGACGAATGGCCCATATAAATAGGATCCTTTCAAAAATCTGAAAGAAAATGGAACAGGTGGTAGAAAAGGGTAAACAAGTGGAGACTTTAAAATCCATCTACTCTTTTACTTAAAATACCTACTATTAATGTTTTTCATAGTCTTTAATATGAAAATGCAAATACTGCAAGCAAACATCCACTTCAGTTTCTTTGTAAAAGTCCAATGATCTGAACTTTTCATTGACTCCTAAGCACTGTGCAGTATTTCACCAGCCCCCTCAACTCTGTCCTTCCACAAGAGACCTCCCCATTTCTCCAGGCCCACCAGTCATGACTGCAGGTGGCCATCCAAGGCTCGATGGGGCAGTGCATAGCACCCAGCTCTGAACATTTCCTCAGAAATGCCTGGGAGACCAGGTGGGTGCAGGCAGAGGAAAGGATGAAGGATGGAGGATGGATAGATGGACAGATGGATGGAAGGGCAGATGGATGAGACACACAGAGGGAGACAAAGAGAGAGGGAGGGAGGGAGGGATGAATGTATGTGTGCATCCTCTGAATTTCCCCCGAGAGGTAAACAGAGTTCTTTAAGCCCCTGGGAAGTCCTCACCATCCAAGAAGACAGACAGAGACTCAGATGACAGAGCGAGGGATGGGGAGGACCCCAGCCTGCTCTCCCTCCCACAATGCTCACATCCAGTTGATCTTCTTCCTCAGTGTCACTCAGCAACTCCCCCGCCCACCCCGGTGCACCTCCACCTTTGTCTACAAGAAGGATTTTACAGAGATGCAACACAGTCCCACCACCCAACCCGAACATGTGTATAAGCCCACACCCCCTCATGGCTTAAAGACTTCTCCACTTGCTCTATTCCTGCCACCAATGGAGCCTCGGGGCCAGGCTGCAGCTCCCATGCCCCCTAGATCAGGCCCTCCACCAAGGTCATCCCCAGGCCAGCACCCACATGCTGACCACACCGGGTGACAGCACCCTTCCTGCAGACTGTGAGACCTCGGATCTCATTGCCTGGAGGGCCCCATCCTGTGCACTGAGCTGACCTCTCTGGCCTTCAAGGCTCATTTCTGCAGCCATCTGCTCCCTCCCCGGCCTCTTCTTGGAAGAGCCTACTTCCTACTCTGTGACACTTGTTGCTGGCTCCTGCCTGAGTGTGCAGCTCCTCACAGGCCAAGGCCAGGTCTGATGGCTCGGCCACACCTCACAAAAGCAAATCTTGCAATGGAGACATCTGATGTACAAAGAGAGACCTGGAGCCCAGGCTGGGAGCCTCTTCACCCGGACCTCTCCCAGCACCCACACTAGAATCCCATCCGCCGACCCACTGCCTTCTTTAAATGACTAACAAAGAAACCACCACCTATAAGGCCAGAGGCCTCTGATACATATTTGCTGAGTGAGTAATACATTCAGGCACATACATACACACACATTTTTCATTTAGGTCAACAGCTTTCTAGAGAAAACTAACTATTTAAACAAGTTCAAAGATTAAAATCATTTAATAACACAGTACCCTTTAAGGGTTTCTCGTGTATAGAAACTTGGCAATTGGCAGGGAGGCACCAGTGCTCCACACCTTGGTCCCCAGGCAGGTGCCCACGAGCCGCCCCTCTGGTGGGACAGCCTCAAGTTCTGCAGGGAAGTGCATGGGCTCACTAAGGGAAGTTGAGCAATTTCCCCAAAGTTACAGAGCCTTGGGCGGCACAGCCAGGCTTCCACCCTGGCAGCAAGACTGAGTGGGAGTCTTGGAGGCTACGCACAACCACCCCTGCCCTGCTTGGGATCCAAGCATTCCTCTCATGTGACGTCACCAAGGAGAGTAAGGAAGACAGAAGAGCAAAAACTACCCCAACTCATCTGCCACGCCCAAGGTACGGCAGGGAGCAGCCAGGCAGCAGGGCTGGGGTGTATATGCATGAAGGTGTGCATGGTGTGGGTATGGTGTGGGTATGGTGTCATGCTCAAAGCATAAGGCTGGAAGCGGGCCCTGGGCAGACTCAGGTTTCTTAGTAACTAAGGAAAGCTTTCAGTTGGTGCAAATTATTTGGATTTGACTCAACTCATTCTCTCTTGACAACCTGAAAAGTGTATGTTTTAAAACTGTAATCCCACTTATAGGTAAATAAGGGGACACGTAGCTCAAGCACAAAACACCAAGACATCTTACCAGGTAGGCAGCTAAGACCATTCTGGGAGGGTGGCATGGGTGTGCTCCAGCCACCACCCCAAGCTCAGCCCCTGGAGGATCAGGGGAGACCTGCAGCCTCCACAGGGCGCCCTCCCCAGCTCCCTGCACCAGCCCAGCCACCAGCCCAGGGTGCCCAGTCCCATCTCCAGGGGGCCTCCCTGCTACGACTCCTATGCTCTGCACCTCCTGAGCAGCACAGGGTGCTGTGACAGCACAGAACACATCAGGTCACACCTCTAGTCTCCCAGAGATCCCCAGACACTGCATGAAACACAAACTGCTGAGCACAACTCCTGGGCCTGATGTATGCACCCTTCCTCCCTCTCCACCTTACTGCCACCTCCCGGGTCTCTCCACCACACCCAGTCATTCTGTTCCTACACCAAGGCCATTTGCACTTGCTGTTCTTGCCACTTGGAGCCCCCTCCTCCCAAATTTCCTGTGGTGCCCCTAACTTTCAGCACAGGACCTCAGTTCAAAAGCCATCTGCTTAGAGACAGCTTCCTGTACCACTCTACCTAAATCAGCCACTCCTCTGCCACAACAGGCCACCCCAGCCTGCAGCTCTGCCCGTACTGGGGAAGGGGATCGTCCACCTCAGTCGCTGCTGTGCCTTCAGCAGACTGCACGGAAAACCATCAGCATTTCTTCAGATGACCGGAGGAGTGCTGAGAGTGTCCTGGTCACTGTGGGAGCCTGCACTCATGGTCATCTCTCTGGACAGAAAGTACTAGTGCCTGCTGGATCCCATCCTTCTTCCTCCATCGCCAGACTTGGTTCCTTGGTGCCAACCGGGGCCATCTGGCTCCATTCCTGGCAATGCCTGGCAGACCTGAGTTCTGGTGTTCTCTCCTATCTCCTCCCCAGCCATCTCCTCTGTGTCTGTCATCTAATGAGCTCTCATTGCTAGATGCTATGAGGAAAGAGGACCTGGCCCCAACACAGAGCGACAGGTGCCGTGGGACTACTGTGCCCTGCACCACATGACTACACAGTTACTCTTCAAAGAATGCACTGAGCCACTTCTAAGCTTCTGCTCAGACAGGTAAGAAAAACAGAAATGACCAGTTTCGTATCACTTTTTTCCAAACAAGCATTTTCAAAGTATACTGAAGGGACAGTTGAAAGGGGCACAAATTATGCACTGTGCTTCCAGGAACACTTGCCCCAGACGCACAGGGCCCTCTCAGAGCCTGGAGCCACAGACCCTGCACGGCCCCTGGCCTTCTGGCCTTGCTCCCCACTGGTGCCACTGCTCACTCCCACTGCTACAGGGATGGCCACAACCCAAAATGACACTGCTGTTACAAACTCAGGTACGTATGTTCAGAGCAGCACAACTCGGAACATCCAAATCTTGTACATGTCCCTTAAGTCCATCACCAGATGAATGGATAGAGAAAATACCACTGTGTGGTTTGGGCACATAGTGGAGCACTATGCTGCCACAAAGAAAGATAAACTGGAGTCGTCTAAGGAAAATGAATGTATCTTGAGACCATAATGTTAAGTGAAATAAATCAGACACAGAAGATTAAATATCGAGAAACTCAAATTATATGTAAGTTTAAAAGCAAAATAAAAGATAATAGGAAGCAGGGAGATGGATCTTTTGCACATGGGAAGGGGACTACGAGACAGAGGGAGAGGGAGAGAAAAAGGAGAAGGGGCATAAGAAGAATGAAGGTGTGTTATGTGCACGTGCCAGCTCCCCATGATGAATGTCATCATGTATTGCAAACATGTGCTAATAAAATTAAAATTAAAAATGCCATTTGGAGAACTCTGTAAAGGCACAGTCTCCCGACTCCTGCACTGAGGCCTGCAAACAGTCACAGCCCCAACACACAGAGGGAGGGAAAGGGAGAGCACTGCTCCTCTGGCCTGCTCAGGAAGGCTCAGAGTAACAGGCCATTTTAGTCAGTGGGGTCCCCTAGGTCTCCTGCACCCTGGGACAGGGCCTAGCCCCTCCGAACCCCCTCAGGTCACTGGGCTCCTCCAGATTTGAGCTCAGAGCAGGAATCCAGAGATCAGAGCTGAGCCAGATACCCAGCAAGGCCAAGCAGCAAAAGCCAAAAGCTCACCAAAATCAGAGTCAAAATCAGCTAGCAGGGTCAAGCCCAAACCCAGACAGGAGGCCAGGGCACACAAGAGCAGGGGATGCTCGGGGCCAAGGCACAAGGCAGGCCAGCAAGCTCAGTAACGGGAGCTGCCGGTCAGGCTTTCTCATCTCCACCAAACACAGCAGCACTGCTCCTGCCTGCAGATCTCCACAGAGCCAACCCCCTCGCTCAGGTGAGTGCCCTCTCACAGGGCTTCCTCTAACATCACCAGGGCAGCATCTGCACAACGAGGGGGATGTGGCCAGGTGGAGGGACACACAGACACTGGGAAGGCGGGGCCTGAGGCACCAGGACTTGGGACATTCTTCTTCCCACAGGCTGGCAGGCAAGCAGCTCCCAAGCCAGCAGGCCAGGAAACAGGGAGTCCACAGAACCGTGAATGTTAGGAATTCACACCTGGGGTGATGTCCAGATTCAAGAGTCCCCAAGCACCCCCTCCAGCTGACTTCTGAGATTCTTTGAAGCAGTAAGAATATAGTAGGGGGGATAATTTAATATGCAACTCTGTCTGATCTCTGGCTTCTTGCACATCCACCTCCACAACAGACTCCAGGTGTGCACTGCTGAGGACAGAGAACACTCAGTCCTGGTGTCACCCATGTACCTGCTGGGTGCCCACTGGCATTCTCGGTGGAGTGGGCACAAGTCCCACAAGTCTGGATGCCAAAAATCCAGGTATTTTGCTAGCCGTTGTGCAGGAAAGGCAAAAACAATGTGCACCCTGCA